CGTGTTTCTGTCTGAGCAGGTGTCTTGTATTAGCAATAGAGAGCAGAAGTGTTTGTTTCTGCTGTAGCGTCGAGCTGTTTCCCATCAGGCTCTATGACTCGCTGTCTGAACCAGTCTCCAGTGGCCGTTGGAGGAACTGCAGTTTTTAGCACTTCAGCGTTGGCGTCATCTTCCAGCGCTGGAGGTTGCTGCTTCATTCTGGAACATGTGTTTGTTTGGTGGAGCGTCTTGTTTTCCATGCACATACTAACACACACATTTCTGTACACATGGGATTGAAGCCTCAGACTGAGGGACGTATTTCCCCAGCGCGCCGTGGAACAGGAGGCCACACATCACCTGGACGTGTGGGCCTCTATGTACATGCTTGTGTGGCTGACCTCACCACACCACCGCCACATGGTTCAACATCTCAGCTCTGAGCGTCAGTCAGAGAGCTCTAGAAACATCTGCCTGGTCGCCATGTCTCTCTGTCTTTGTCTCACATTGGTTCCTGGTCCATCTCTGTGGAGACACATCCATGAGCAGATGGAGGGAAACACCAGCAGCCTGTTGGGTGGATGTGACTGCTTTAGCTACGCCAGCGTTGGTAATAGATTTACCTCATCGCTCTGGATGCTTTTCATTATTAATGATGTTATTAGGTCTAGCTTTAGGTGGAGCGGGCTGATAATGCCTTTTCAAGGTATTTACACTAACTGTGGGCATTAAATAAATAAAGCAACCTTTAGAGAATTTGAATCTATGTTCTCTGAATAGATCATGTTACAGGCTGTGACAGCGCCCACATTAGGCCATTAAAAATGAATGTTATGAATACACGACCTCTGGTCACACGTCTGATCCCAAACCGGATTTAAAGCAGCCAGGAAACAGAAGAAATGCACCTTTTATACCGAGACTTGTAAATATTTATGGAGTGTAATGACAAAGACGTATTCCTTGCTGTGGATACTGATGTATCTGAGGGCTGTCTCAGCACCGTATTAATGCAACAGAAGGCTCAATTATTAATAGCAGCATTATTAACAGCTACGCCGGCTCCCAGTTAAACATTTATGGAATTATTATTGGTGTGACAGAGCAGGAGCTGGAGATTGATCTCACTGTGCTGTAGTGTGTGTGTGTGTAGGTGTGTGTGTGTAGGTGTACGTGTGTGTAGGTGTGTGTGTGTGTGTGTAGGTGTGTGTGTGTGTGTGTAGGTAGGTGTACGTGTGTGTGTGTGTAGGTGTGAGTGTGTGTGTGTGTGTATGTGTGTGTGTGTGTGTGTGTGTGTGTGTGTGTGTGTGTGTGTGTGTGTGTGTTATAAGGAGGGAGACAAAGAGAAGAACGAGTGGCTGTGGGTTAAATGATTTTTAAACACAAGTCAACATTTGAGTTCTTCCTGATGTGAAAGCCGTAGTTATGTAGTTATGAGGAAAACATCTTTCCGTCTCAGACTTTTAGCTGCTGAGTCGTCTCCAGTGACTCCGATCACATGAAGTCATTACTGCTGCTGTTTAATGAGCCCGTCGTAGTTAAACAGTGAAGTCATACCAGCCTGCTGCGGTCATGGAGCTAATCAATAGCTTCCTGGCTTCCTTCAGTCTGTGCTCATGGAGGTGTGTGTGTGTGTGTGTGTGTGTGTGTGTGTGTGTGTGTGTGTGTGTGTGTTCCTACCGCCCTGTCCTCCCAGGTCCTCTGTCAGTGTCCTGGACCAGGGTGGGTACCAGGTATCATCCACTGACATGAGCTGGATGCACACAGCTAGCATGTGTGAGCAGGCTGTGGGACAACCTGCCAGGAGCTGCAGCTCTCCATCATAATGTCCCTGAAGTTCCTCTCCCTCTTCCTCCGTTTCTTTGTGCATTCATGAACTGGAGCTTTGGGATGAGAATATATTTTTAGCTGAAAATGTGTCTCCGTCTTCCTGATTCCTTCTCGTGCCTCTCCGCTGACTTTATATGCAATCACGCCGAGTCGCTCCAGGAGACATGCAATCAGACCGGGTTGGTCAGAGCGGCGGCAGGAAGAGGGGCAGCTGTAGGACAGCACCGACCGCCACGACGTTTTGGTCCGTCAGTCCGTCAGTGTGTTGAGCTGCCAGCCGGCCTGCAGCGTCTCACTGCTTTATTTAGCTGTAGGGACGCCTGTACAGAGAGTTTTAAAACCTCACTGAAAGAAAATTACTGGACATTAATACAGTCCTCTATATAATGAGTGGAATGCCTCCAGTGAAAAGTTTAACTGGACAACCAGTGCATGCAGACTGGGACCAGACTGGGACCAGACACTGGACCAGACTGGGACCAGACACTGGGACCAGACACTGGGACCAGACTGGGACCAGACACTGGACCAGACACTGGACCAGACACTGGGACCAGACACTGG